GAAGTCGGACCAAAGACATCTGAGGCCTGTTTCTGCTCTAAGATTCTGTAATGGTGATAGTCAGTCTGGCATGGTGGAAAGTTTACTGGATCTTCACTCAGGAGAGCTAGGTTGCAATCTTGCCTCAGGCCTTTATTAGCTGTAGTCCAAAGTCACAAAATAAGTAACTGAGAGATGATTTGAACCGTAGTCCTCTGTGGTTAAATCCAATGATCTTTATACTAAATGTATTTGTCATGACATCAGTCCACCTTTGAGTAATTTATTCCTATTTGGATGAAATCATTTCTGTGCATAAAATTTGTGGTTCAGAACTAGCCTACAAAGGGGGGTTGTTGTCCTATTTTATTTATTTATTTTTGGTTTTGGTTCTAGGTTTTTGTTTTGTTTTTTCACAAGACATCTCTCAATTCTGGCCTTTTCTCTGACCATCCCTTTGCCTGGAATTCTCTCACTCCTCATCTCTGCCTCCTGGTTTCCCTTGGCTTCCTTCAAATACCAGGTAAAATACTACTTCCTACAGGAAGTCCTAGTGCCTTCACTGTTGATTAGCTCCAATTTATCTGGTATTTATCTTTTTTTGTACTTAGCTGTTTATATGTTGTCTCTCTCATTAGATAATGACCTCCTTGAGGGCAGGGATTGACTTTTTTTCCCTTAGTTTTGTTGTTGTTGTTGTTATTATTATTATCTTTCTTTTGAACACCAGCATTTAGCACTATGCCCGAGAGAGTAGCAGCTTAATAAAAGCTTGGTGATTGACTATCCTTTTTCTTGAAAATTCTGAAGAGCTGCTCTTTCTCCTTCTGTCTTCATTAACCAGAAGTCCATTCTTTAGCTAAGAACATAACTTGAGGCCAAATGCAGGCTCTGATATCTAAGCAAGTTACATTTGTTATTATTGATTTAGCAGGGGGTAGTACAATGAATAGAGAACCAGGGCTGGAATCAGGAAAACCTGAGTTCAGATTTGGCCTCAGACAGGTGCTAGCTATGTGATCCTGGGCAAATCCCTTAACCCTGTTTGCCTCAGTTTCCTCATCTGTAAAATTGTTGAAGTCTAGAGGTTTAGGGTGCTGGAACCCCAAGATCACGATGCAGGCCCTGCCTGAATGAATTCAACCCAAATCTTCTTCCAGCCAAAGAAAAAGTTTATTAGAGATAAACCATACAGGTCAGACTCTTAAGGAATCTGAACATTAGTAACACCTGTAGGGATGAATGGGCATGAGAAAGTCTCAGCGTTTGAATGGGGGACAGGGTGGATCTTACATACACTAAAGTAACTTTAGGTGGACAGAGGAGGGGGCTGGGAAAAGGGTCTAGGTGAGAATTTGGATTGAAAGGTCTGAGAGATTGAATAGACAACAGGAATAGATAATGAGAGGAACCAGAAGGAAGAAGTTTGAAAGGCATCTGAATAAGGTCAAAAGGTGGGGCTAGGGCTTTCAAAGGGAGATAAGGGGAGTCCATAAGGAACCTAAAAGTTTAAGGGTTTTCTGGGACCTGTAGACAAATGGGAGCCAGATTCTTTTTACGGCAAGGGGCAGAGGCACACCAGAATAAGATCAAATGGTAGGGCTACGGCTTTCAAAGGGAGATGAGGAGTTGGGGCCCGTAGAGCCAGATTCCCTTTGGGGCAAGGGGCAGGGGCAAAGATCTCGGCTCGGGCCCATACCCCGACAAAATGAGCTGGAGAAGGAAATGGCAAACCATTTCAGTATCTTTGCCAAAAAAAAAATTCCAAATTGGGTGAGAATATATGCAGAGGCCATACACAGGCTCTCATACTTAACATGTAGCCGAACTTAAAAAAAATCACATTATTTAGAATAATGATTGCTTTTCAGTGAGAGAATTAAGTGAATAAGCAAGAGGCAGGTGTTATTCTAGTAAGTGTATCCCATAGGCAGGATGTAGTAGTAATTTATAGTATTATAAAATTAAATTTGACACCCTCCCCCAAGCAAGCATTTAAGAAAGCATCCTAAAATGGTGGTTCTCAAGGGGGAAAGGGCCTTACAGATCACCTAGTCCACCTGTTTTACTTTGACGATGAGGAAATTAAGGCCCAGAGTAGTAAGGTCCTTAGTCAAGGTCACAGGTGAAATAAGTAGCAGAAGGGGAATTTGAACCCAAGCTTTCTTTCTTCCCCCAAATCCATCGCTCTTCATAATGCAGTATGTTGTTTTCTTCTATATTTGCCTACTATAAGACAAGCAAGTCCCCAGAGAGACAGATGGCCTCCTTTTGTCAGTACTCTCTTAAATGTAGGTGCTGCTTAAGTAATATTTATGGCTATGATCATTGGCCATTATTCAGAACCTTTATTATACACTGTCACACGTTGGCAGAACTCCTAACTCATCCAGATTCCTCTATTCACAATCTCTTAGTGATTCCCCACTGCCTCCAAAATAAAGTATAACTTTAATAAAATACTAAACAAAAAATAAAATAAAACAAGGAATTTAAAAAAAAATAAAGTATAACTTTCTGGCTCTGTTACTCAAGACCTACAATCTGACTCCAACCTACCTTTCCAACCTTATCTTACACTCTCTACCCCTTCATTTACTAATGTCCCAGCCAAACTGGCCAACCTGCCACTCCCTATCTATGCAGTACTTTGAATGTACTAAGCACTTAAATTCTTATTCATTCATTCACTCATTCACTCATTCATTCATTTCCTAAAGAAGTAGTATAGGAAAAAGCTTAATTTGGTACCAGGAGTCCTGGGTTCCAGTCCCAACTCTGATATTATTATTAGCTTTCAAGATATATAGATACATGGATGAATGGATATATACATATATATATTATATATATATATAATATATATATATACACACACATATATGTATATACTCACACACACACATATATGGGTATGGGTGTGTGCATACATGTGTGTGTCTATACATATATGTGTGTGTATGTATATGTATACACATGTGCATACATAAACAGATAAATGTGAATAACTTGATTTCTCTAAATTTTAGTTTTATCTTCTGCAAAATGGGTATGATACTACTCACACTAACTGCCTCACTGTGTTACTTGATGAAAACACTCTCTAAACATTAAAATGCTCTATTGAGTTGAATGGAGGTTCTTGCCTCTTTATCATTTGTTTGCCCTGTCTCCTCCGATACCTGTAATTGCTTCTTGACTCAGAGACTTTTTTTGAAATTCTACCCATCTTTAGAAATCCATCTTCTTTCCTACACCCACTATAAAGTCTTCTCTCACCCCCAGTTCCTTTAGCAACAAGTGGTCTTTGCCTTGTCATTATTCTCATAGCATGTTGTCCATCTGAATCTATGCTCTTTCATTCTACATTAGAATTATTTCTGTAATTCAATAAGCTAATCAATGAGTATTCAGTAAGTGCCTTCAAAGTGCCTGATACCCAGAGTATACAAAGACAAAAGCAATCCAGTCATTGTCATCATGGAGCTCATCCTCTATGAGTGAGACAACTTGCACCTTTATAGATACTTGCAAAATCAATACCAAGTCATCTGGGAAAGCAGAATATTAGTACCCAGGGTCAGGGAGGTGAAGCAGAATCAGGAAAAAGTTTTCCTTTAAAGGAGGATATTTGAGTTGAGCCTTGAAAGAAATTAGAGTTCTAAGAAGCTGAGGTGAGCAGGAAATGTGTCTTTGCTATAGAGGACAGCCAGTACAAAGTCATCAAGAAGGGAGTTGGAATGTGATGTGACAGAACAGCAAAAAGGCCTGTTTAATTAGACCATATAGTGAATGGAAAAGAGTAATACAATAAGTAGTAAGTGATAAGGCTGGACAGCTAAGTTGGGGCTAGGATGCACATATGTCTCATCCTTCCTCCCACTTTAGGTTTCATGTTCCTTCAGGACAAGAGTCAGCTTATATTCACCTTTGAATTCCCCCAACACTTGACAAAGTGTCTATTTAAACAAACATTAATAGAATTTAATTTTATGGAATTGAATTGAAATAAAATGTTTTAATACTTTGGTATCTAAATGTAAAAAGCCTATGAAATCACATACAAACTGAATTTTTGAGGTTTGAGATCACTAGAGCTTAATCTGGGTGAACAGCCACCATCGTGTCCACGATGGTGTCAAAAACAAAGGATCAGCATGATGCCACCATCCATCAGCGTAAAAAGCAAAGTGTTCATTGAGTGATTCTTAGCCTATAGAACCATAGCTAGTAGGGAGGAAAGCAACAATACAATAACTCACAGCCATTAATAACCTGTGTGTATCACGTAAAGTCTGTGGACACTTGCTCAGAATAATATTTTTAAATACATAAGACTTGAAAAGATGACACAGGAATTGTCACGGGGCTGCACCCTGCCTATCAGAGTCCTGGCTTCCAAGCAGGAAGTTGAGGGTCACAGTCTGTTGTGTGAAAGCAAGGAAGTCTTAACTGACCTCTCCTCTGTGGACAATCAGCAACCATGGCTGGTTCGGCTCTCCTCTGAATGGCTAAGCGTTCCTGTGCACATCCTGTTCACGACCCTGACACGAGGGCTGCATGCTATGAGGGGATCTACTGACTGGCTGTAGGGCTCTGATCATGCAATCCCAAGGTGCCTTGAGGTTTATAAAGGTCACACCCAGCTTACAATAAACAGGAGCTTCTGCCACCTTGCTGTCTCCCGCCTCATCTGTGAATCTCCAGGTTACTGGGCACTGAGCTGGTCTCATGCTCACCACTGCAGCGGCCGCAACAACTGGTGCCCAACGTGGGGCGGATGGATAACAAGCCTGACAGATACCCCATGGGCGGAGTCTAAACTCCATGAATAAAACGTCAGCAAGCTTCGAGCTTTCGGCCCGACGGAAACGGGTCTCTGAGACGTTTCCCATCCTTGGGGGGTGGAGAAGGTAAAGGTTTCGCTTTACACAATGGGGCAAAATATAGGGCTTCTCCTTCCCACAGATGAGGAGAATTATGCCAGAGCTTTATATAAGGTAGCAAAGAATGAGGGAATAATGATACACCTAAAAGATTTTAGAAAATTTGTGATGTTGGCTTTTCAGGTATCCCCCTGGCTCCTGGAACAGGGTTGCTTTGAGCCAGGGAGATGGAAGATTTTGGGGGAGCAGCTGACCTCATATGATGGTACTTGCACTGGAAAAGTTAGGCTTTTAGACTATACCATCTACAATCTTGTAAAACAGATTCTGATGAATCAAAAGCAAGGAGAAGTCCGGTGTTTTCCAGTCTGTACTCAGACAGGTTCCTCCCTCCCCTCCCCCTCTGCGAGTAGACCTTGCTCTCCTAAACTAAGAGAAGATCTCGCAGACCTCCCTCTCCGGCCACCCCCAGGACACTATCCCAACTTGGGGGAGCTGGAGGACACTTTAAGAAACTTGGTAGCGACCCCTCCCGAGAATCGGGGATTGCGGGAGCAGGATAGTAAGGAATTTCCACCAACAAAAGCAGAAATTCCTGCACAGGATGTTAGAGGAAAGTTTCTTGCAAAAGAATTTCTTACTGCGCCACAGACTTTGGGAAGTGGGTGTGGCCACCTTGGTGCGCACACAACAAAGTCCAGCGATGAAGAATCACCATTACAAAAGGGCATTAGAGAAGCAAAAGAAAAGGGTGAGGGTGTTAGTGAATGGGATATTGGCCTCTATCCGGTCATTGAAGAACCTGATCCCTTTAATCCAGGACAGGTACGGAGGAGGCATGAAAGTATTCCTTTTAAAACCTTGCTGCAATTAAAACAAGCAGTTGCCCAATATGGACCTACTTCACCTTTTGTAATGTATCAATTAGAGGTTATCTCTAACTCTATTTTGTGTCCGAATGATTGGAAGGCAATAGCCCGTGCAGTTCTGACTCCTGGAGCTGCTGTCTTTTGGATGGCTGAATTTGTAGATCAGTGCCATATGGTTTCATACCAATTGGCATCTGGACCCCAAGGAAAAGCCCTCTTCGAACAGATGAGTGGCACAGGGGATTTTGCTACCACTGCCCAACAGCTAGGATATGCTGAGGAGGGCTATCATAGAATTGCAGTACAAGCTAGAAAAGCTTGGTCTAGGATACCAGAAAAGGCGCAGGCAAAGGAGTCTATGACCGCTGCCCGGCAGAAAGCTACTGAGACTTTTGTTGATTTCGTGGCTAGAATTCAAGAACCAGTCACACGAACAATGGGAGAAGTAGAAGGGACTGAAATAGTCATAAAATCACTACTTAGAGAAAACTGCAATGAAGACTGTAAGAAAGCCATGCTAGGTTTGCCTAGGGACGCAACCTTACAGGAAATGATAAGGAGATGTGAAAAGGTAGGGACTCAGTGTTTTCATTTTGAGTTGATGAATCAATTTTTAGCAGAGCATAAGTCAGGGGAAAAAACAGGGAAAACATGCTATCAATGTGGGAGAGAAGGGCACTTTAAGAAAGACTGCAAGTCAAACAACAGACGCCCTGCCACGCCCTGTCCGAAATGTAAAAAGCTAGGGCATTGGGCTTCTGAATGCAAGTCGGGAAATGGGCACAGGGGCTCTGCGGGAGCCCCGAATACTTGTCCCATGGGGATGACAGTACAGGAATCAAACCCTCTCACAAACGAATGGGGGAAGAAGTACATGACTCTAGCTGCCCAAGAAAAACAATTCGAGTATTGAAATTGAGAAGCTTAGATAATTTTAGACTGCCACCCCATGCTGTCTGTAATGTCCCACTCATGGACCAACAATTGGTCCATGAATTGGACCAGAATTGGGGCCAGAATTTTCCTTAATTACCATATCACCCCCAGATCAGCACTACTCACATGCAGTTCCAGTAATTCAAATGTATAAAGGCTCCCTCCCTCACCTCACCTTGATTAACACTAACAATGATGATACCTATATAGAAAGGGTACAGTGCATGGCTCAAGCCATCACCATTACTGCAGAATTCCACATAGAAGATCCTACCATAATAAAAGGCCCACAGAAAGGCTGGAGGTCAGGAGCATTTTTTACACAAGCTGTCTCTATGGACCATCCCCTATATACTATAAGTGTAGAAAAACAGAAATTTACAGGGTTGATTGATACTGGGGCTGATAAATCAGTATTCCCCGCAGACCAGTGGCCACCTTGGTGGCCTAAGGAATTGGCTTATACCTTTTTACGAGGTATAGGAGGCAATCAAGAAACAGAAATCTCTACACGTCCCCTCACATGGGAAAAGGACAATAAAAGTGACAAGTTCCGTCCGTATATCACAGCAGGATTACCTCTTATTTTATGGGGACGTGATGTTCTTACAGACATGGGTATTACAATCAGCACAGATTTTTCATAAGGGCCACTGATGTTTCATTAACAGCACATAAATTAGTTTGGCTTACAAAAGAGCCAGTGTGGGTTGATCAGTGGTGCCTGACACAAGAGAAACTCACTGCCTTACATTCTTTAGTATGAGAGCAATTACAGCAGGGACACATAGAGGAAAGCTCTAGTCCGTGGAATTCTCCTGTATTTGTCATAAAGAAAAAATCAGGAAAATGGAGAATGTTAATAGATTTAAGGGAAGTAAATAAAAGAATGGAAAACATGGGTCCTTTGCAAACAGGACTACCCTCACCAAATATGATCCCTAGACATCAACCCTTGTGGATCCTTGATATTCAGGATTGTTTTTACTCCATTCCCTTGCACCCTGATGACTGCAAGTATTTTGCATTTTCTATACTTACACCAAATCACTGTGCTCCTGCTAGGAGATATCAATGGAAAGTTTTACCACAAGGAATGAAAAATAGTCCTACTATTTGCCAAAGATATATAGCAGACCTACTAGAGCCTTTAAGAATCAAATATAAAGGAGCCTATTTAGTGCACTATATGGATGATATTCTTTGTAGTCATGCCAATTTAGAAGTCCTTGAGCAGATACTCCAAGAAACAGTATTTATTTTGACAAACAAAGGGCTTCAGATAGCACCAGAGAAAGTGCAAAAACAACCTCCCTTTCAATATCTGGGATTTCAGCTTGACTTGGGGGAAGTCTCTTTACAACCTCCTGAGCTTAGACAAGACAAGGTACAAACTTGAAATGATTTCCAAAGATTGATAAGAGATATTCAATGGATGCGACCAAAGATAGGCATTACTAATGAGGAGATGCAACCCTTATATTCTATCTTAAAAGGGGATCCCCACTTAAATTCTCCTAGAAAATGGACCCCTGAGGCTGAACAAAGCTTAAAACAAATCATTGGGAAATTAGGAAATCACACCCATTGGGTATCTCCACAGAAGGAGATTGAAGCCACATTGATAATGGCTCAACAACATCCACACATTATACTTCACCAAGAAGAAAAGATTATAGAATGGTTATACAGCAAAACCAGTAATAAAAGAGTTTTAACTAGTTATCTAGAAGAAACCTCTATGTTGGCTAAAAAGGCACTTCTTCGCATTTTACATCTTAGTGGACAGAAAGGCACTTTGTGGGTCCCTGTTACAAAAGAAAGACTTGAGACCCTTTTATATTGTGATGACAATTGGACTGTGTTATTGAATCTAGGTAATATTCAAGCAGGACAAAAACACGCCTTTGCTAAATGGTTTAATAACTGGCAATGGATATTCCCCAAGATTGTCGGGAATACACCTGTTGATGGTTATAATGTCTATACTGATGCTACTAAAGAAAAGAAAGCTGCTATATATTGTCCTGACTTAGACATTCATACAGTTATACAGACTCCATACACTTCCATTCAAAAGAATGAGCTATATGCTCTTCTACATGCTTGCAGAATACCTCAACCTATTAACATTATTACAGATAGTCATTATGCTGCTGGTGTGCTTTCTCACATAGAAACAGCATATATCAAACCTGAAGGTTCACCAATAACAGAATTGTTTTATGAACTTCAATCATGCATCAGATCAAGACAACATCCTCTGTATGTAATGCATGTAAGATCCCATACAGATGGGTTAGGTCCCATATTTTCAGGGAATAATATTGTGGATTCTATGTTTATAGGCAATCGTCAAGAAGCACAACAAGGACATGGTAAGTATCATATGTCAGCCAGGTCTCTACGTCGCCTTTATGGCATAACCAGAGAACAAGCCAGAGCTATAGTGAGAAGGTGCACTCAATGTGTCCCTTTCAATTCACCATCACTTCGCTCTGGTATCAATCCTAGAGGACTTTTTCCTAATTCTCTATGGCAAATGGATGTTACCCATATTCCACCATTGGGGAAACATAAATTCCTCCATGTTACTGTGGATACATTTTCTGGATTTTGTATAGCTACTCCTCAAACAGGAGAAGCTGTTAGACATGTTATTAATCACCTTTATCATGCTTTTGCTATAATTGGCCCACCATGTGCGATAAAAACTGATAATGGGCCCGCTTATACTGCCAAGCAATTACAAGCCTTTTTTCTAGAGTTTGACATACAGCACATATGTGGTATCCCTTATAACCCAACTGGTCAAGCCATTATTGAACGAATAAACCAAACCATCAAAACCTTCTTTCAAAAACAAAAAGGGGGAGCTGAGAGGTTATCCCCTCAAAGACAGATTAATAAAATCTTGTATACTATAAATTATTTGAAATTTGATGGTAATGACCTTACCCCTGCTATGAAATTCTTTTTACCTCACAATTCACCTACCTTGACTCATGATGGCCCAACTATATACACAGATAAAAAGAAATTGGTCCTGTGGAAAAATCCCAATAATGAATGGGTAGAACCTTTCAGGGTACTAACCTGGGGGCCAGGGTATGCTTGTATCTCAACAGGTGAAGGAGCTAAGTGGGTGCCAATGAAAACCCTCAAGATTGTCCCTACTCGGGAGACACCCCAGGAAGAAAAGAAGGAGACCCAGCAAAAGAAAGAGGAATGAGTTTGACCTCCCCACATAAACTAATGCGACTTCATCATCAGTAAAATACAGCTTGACTGTACATGAGGCAGCTGCTTTGTTGGTCCCGCACCAACAACGTGGAGGGCTGCATACAACTGCACAACGTCACCCTTGCCATGACCATTCCCGGAATGGGGCCACACCAGATTCACCTACATGGAGGACAGGGGATGCCCTGCTCCAATGCCACCTCCCTGCGCGCGGGGGGTCTGGACAAATGTAAGGTGAACGGTGACTCTGGGTCTGGCTGGCCTCATGTGGAGACTTGTGTAGTGGCGCGCCGCCACGGCATGAATTTAAATGGGACTATTGTTCAATCATGGCATGATTCTGGACGCATGACAATTCTACTTACAACTGGACAGTAATCAGAAACCACTTGAATGGTCTATTCTTAAATAACACAATAGAATCTGACATTGTAACTTTATATAGATTAGCCTCTGAAATCAAAAAGGCTTCTGAACAGGACTTGGATCCTGACAAAACAGCAGAGAAAATCATACATTGGTTTGATAATGCCTCCAATTGGTGGGGGTCATTTGAGTATTGGATTATACTGATTGTTGTAGTGTGCTTACTTTTATGCTGCTTACCTACTATCGTGGGATGTGTACTAAAAGCTATTATAGAGATGATTCGCAAAATCTCAGCCCAAGTACAAGTCCTAGCAGAGATCCATCCGCAAGGGAGCTCCTCTAAAACAAAAAGGGGGAATTGACACAGGAATTGCCACGTGGCTGCACCCTGCCTATCGGAGTCCTGGCTTCCAAGCAGGAAGTTGAGGGTCACAGTCTGTTGTGTGAAAGCAAGGAAGTCTTAACTGACCTCTCCTCTGTGGACAATCAGCAACCATGGCTGGTTTGGCTCTCCTCTGAATGGCTGAGCGTTCCCGTGCACATCCTGTTCACGACCCTGACACGAGGGCTGCATGCTATGAGGGGATCTACTGACTGGCTGTAGGGCTCTGATCATGAAATCCCAAGGTGCCTTGAAGGCTATAAAGGTCACACCCAGCTTACAATAAACAGGAGCTTCTGCCACCTTGCTGTCTCCCGCCTCATCCATGCGTCTCTGGGTTACTGAGCACTGAGCTGGACTCATGCTCTCCACTGCAGTGCCAGTGACAAAAAGAAACCAATTTAAGATACAATTATTAAAATACTAAGAGTAATCAAAGTAATATTTCATAAAAATTACAAAAAATAATCAAAACAAGTTGAGGGTAAGAAACCTTGGGAACCTAGGGACTTAAAACCTAAGTGAACAACACTGGCCCAGTCAGATTATAAAGGACTCAATTTTTTTGTTGTTGCTGGGTTTGTTTCAGCTGTGTTCAACTCTTTGTGACTCCATTTTGGGGTTTTCTTGGCAGAGATACTAGAGTGGTTTGCCATTTCCTTCATTTTTTTTTACAGGTCATTTTTTACAGATGAGAAACTGAGGCAAACAGAGTTAAGTAACTTGCCCAGGGTCACAAAGGTTATAAGTATCTGAGGCTGGATTTGAACTCGTGAGGATGAGTCTTCCTCATTCCAAGCCTAGTGTACCATCTAGCTGCCCCAAAATTCAATTAAATAAACATAATAAGTATAGTAAGGCTAATGTGTTACAGAGAGGTGGTATAGAATGATAGAT